CCTAAATAGGCAAACCCTCGAAGCATACGAGGTCAGCCGGCCGTCTTTCTTTTCTCGGGAAGCAGAAAACAAGCTGATCACAAACGAGATCTAGTACGGTTCGGGTCACGAATCCTTGCGCGATCTAACATGGCCCCATCAAGCCTTTCGTCACTGTCGCCATAGAAGGACGACGTATTGAGTAATTATCTAACGGACGACAGGGAAGCCTTTGTTCCTAACGCCTTTTTGGTCGATGCCGCATTTCTTTCCGACCGCTATTTTCTTCCTCTCGTGAGAGAGACAACGGACAAACCTTGGATTAACCTCTCTCAATTCTATGTCGATATTCGATTATGCTCCAGAACGGTCAAAAACAAATGTTGAGCGCTGAGCTGTCACAATTTTCTCCACGGTGCACAACTATACAGACATAATCAGTTTTGTCGTCCTCGGGGGGAGGGGGGGGTCGCAGATAGAGTCTTGCGGTCCGGCAGTGACCAGAAGCCCCTCCCACAGCTGCCTGTCCACGGCTGTCGAGCACAGCGGGATTCAAATCCCGACCAAGTGACACTTACTTGGTTGCAACAAGAATGGCGTACCAATTATATGACCCGCCGTCCCCGCCCAGGATACAACGAAGCGCAATGTCTCAAACGCGGAACGCCAAGACCGTTTGTATTCCAACAGTCATGGCCTTTGTTTCGTCCTCCCGGCGAAGCCGTCCTTTGAAACCATTTTCACAATGGACCATATCGCATCCTAGCATATGAATCCACGGTGGTGAAGTTGATTACTGGATCGTATTTCATCACATCTTGCGGCCCTAGTATGCGCTTGATCGATATTCGTCAATGGGGTGGGCTAAAGCATTGTCCTCGAGCGGCCAGAGCAGGCAAAGATAAGACACAGACACACTTAAGATCTCTGGCCCGGCCCGAACATTCTCACAACCTGAGGTGGAGGGCGGCGGTTTTAAGACCAATGTCCAACGCTAGACATAGTCGGACCGCTTCCTTCCTCCCATCCGAACACTTTCACTTTCATCTAGGACTTGTGATGACCGCGATAACCACGATGATGGCGAGCAGTGCCATTCCATTACTGAGGGGTACGAACACCAACAACAGATCTGTATTGCCAACGTCATATTCGACACAGGTTGGGAAATTCCTACTTCATTCGGTGTGGCGCCTCACGATCACTACAGACCGAGGATCTCCAGGATTAGAGTTCCTACCTCTAGTTCCGAGACGTGTGGTTTGAATCGTTCTGTTGGGGTTTTGTACTCCCCCATTCGGACGAACTGCTTATCATCCGCCTCCGCAAAAGGCCTTGTCCGAGCGATTTACACATCGACCGGCGTAAAGCCGGCGCAAGCCCAGCTAGAGTATCACTCGCAGACCCACAATTGGACCTGAAACTTGCATCCCAGCTGTCCCTTCTTGGTGATGTGGCTAATAACCGGACAAAGAGGATCGTTGGATGCAGCCCTGTGCCGAAACCCGCGGTCTTTGGCAACCGGACTCTACAGACTTCCAGGTGAGAGTGAAGTATTGGACTCCCGAGTCACTGGTTGAGATAGCACACCTTGTGCCCAACGCCGAACGAATCCTCCAACACAACACTGTCCGAACAATACGCACCAACGTCTCCGGTACGGCTTCACTGTCCCCCCCCGCGAGCAACGGAATTTCACCGGACTTACACACTTGTCCTTTTGTTTCATTCGCACTGATGCAGTTCGCAAGCCGTTTGACACCCCCTTATGAAGGTCCTTGTCAAAGGTGTTAGTTCACGGAAACCTAAGACTTCATACTCGAAGGGAATGGGATCGAAGAAACTGTGAGTATGACCGTCTTAAAACCCGCTTATGTTGTGTCCCTCCGTTACTTTGACAGATCCAAGTTGTTTACCACCCTGTTGTACAACCGACTGATTCCAAAGCTCCAGCAACTTCATGAGCTCGCTCAAATAATGATCCAAAGCACACACGTTCAGAACTTTTTGCTGTCCACCTTCCAAACTAGCTACGTTTGTTCCCTAACTAGCTATCTCATGCGTTACCTTACAAGTTTACGCTCTACAGGTGAAGTTACGTAGTGGTTATTAATCTTTCACATGTTGCCTTGTCATCAATTTTATCATGACATCTTTTGTTCAGTTTGTTTGAAATAATGATTACAACCTACTTCTTCGTGCCCCGCTTCCCCTAGTGCTGATTTTTGTCTGTGCTGCTTCTGCGTGCGTACGGTGCCGTCCAGTCTGCTTGCAAATCGGATAGTATATTCGGAATTACTATCGAACGTCTATTTCCATTGTGCTCTGCATGTGCTACAGGTAGATCGCAACCTACGACTCGAACTCAACTGTGATTAGACTGCGGGTTCACTCTCTCCAACTTTCTGCTATTTACTAACGGGTTGAAACCTTCCTAGTATTTTTCGACCACTACATAAATTGA